AGTTCCTCGGAAAGAATTTCTACCGGAAATTAACAAACAAGCAGATACGCAACACTATTATTTAATTTTGATATTTTCGTCGCCTATACGGTTTTAATTTTATTTGTCTTTTTATTCACAACACAATTTGTTTGAAATCACTAGAAAAATGTTCAGTAGGTTATAGTTACATATAGTGTGTATGTATCCGGCGATTACCATTCGTCTTGAACTTGGGCAAACAATATTACTGTATGTATCCAGGTTACCACTTACCTTGCAATTGGGCAAACATTAATATCTAAGAGTAGGTAGAATATATAAGCTGTAACAATAATTACCTCCCAATGAGTTACGTACGAGTAAGATTCGTGCATTGTTACTAAGACATTCTAAGTTTAATTACATAATTAATTCTCAATGTATGGCAGCAAATTTTGCAAAAAACATAGTAACCTAACGACATATAAGTCCACAGCTATTGTGAGATACCGTCAAGCTATTGTTTGTTTGCTTGTAATTAAGCACAAAGCTACACAATGGGCTATCTGTGCTCTGCACACCACGGGTATCGAAACCCGGATTCAAGCGTCGTAAGTCCGCAGACATACCGCTGTGCCAATGGGGGGGGGGGGTCTCAAGCTACTGTTAATAACATCAAGTTAAATGATAAGTGGTCCAATTTGTTGCCATCCCTATTATCTTGTTTGCATTCTTTTTGAAGGATTGATATTAGCCATCCCTACATTTACTTCTTTTTTATGAAAAGTTTTTCTTTACTTGCAGCATTGTAAAATTCTGATGACCTATTGCGGAGATATTTAAAATACCATTTCGATGAACAATCCCAGTCATCCCTACATAGGCAGTGCTACCGCTTGCCTGATAACTATTCAATCTCAATTGAGTTTAATTTATCCTTTTTTTGTCTGTTAACATTCTACTACAATGTGTGCCTGTGCTATTATGTAGTGATGATGCAAAGACATTCGTACCCTCTTGTTTGCATTCTTTTTGAAGGATTGATATTAGCCATCCCTATTATTTACTTCCTTTTCTGAAACGTTTTTCTCTTCACTTGCACTTTTTGTAATCAACAAACATACTTTTCATATCAGTGGGCTTACGTTAGTAATCTTAAACTGGATAAACTCTTTGAAAACCGGCAAAATAGAGATCAAAAGTATTTTTCAGTATGGTTAGACATAGTATCTTAAGATGTAATACTTGTTACGACAGCGGAAGTCACGTGACGCTGGTAACAGGTCAAGAGATTCTCAATAGATCTTGACTTTTCCTGGCAACTCTAGTCTTTTCTAGGCACCCTATTTTTTGTATATAAGCCCGGCAAATAATTGCAGATAGATATAGAGACAGATAACTGAGTCAAGCGAGCGGTAGTGACCGTAAGTAAAGTGCGTGAATCGTTGTGAATTATAGTGTATGCACAGTCACTTTAACTTAAAGGAAATTCTGTGTATTGCAAAGTTGTATTGAGAAAGAATAAACTAGTTTTATTTAAGAAAGAACTTGTGTCGCTGAAGTTCCTCGGAAAGAATTTATACCGGAAATTAACAAACGACCAGAGACGTAACAAACCAAAGAATACTTGAAGAATTGGAAACACTACTCATATAACACACACAAAAAAAACTGCTTAATTTGACTTACTGTGACTTGTTGCTAAAACTTTCACAAGACAGGCAATTAGTTCAATGTTCTATATGGCTTCAATGCTTCCCTCACTTGGCAAGAGAGCTTATCAATTGAAAGCTGATATCTGTTAACAAAAAGTAAAACAATAAGCTCATATGAACAAATAATCAAGCTTGTACAGATAAAAATATTTTACTGCATATTGAAAAGTGAATATGATAATCTTAAGAACTTAAAGATATAAAATTATTTTAATTGTTCATGTTATTCAAAATTATCCAACAACAAAAAAAAGTTTCAGTTTATTTCCAACAGTTCAGAGATTGGTCAAAAAGATCGAAACTCGAGAGAAAAAATAAATGTAGATCAAATCTAATGAAATAATTATGTACATTTCTACTCTAATTCTCACTTTTTTTATTTTATGTCTCAAAACATACAACTGTGCTCTGCAGTGGTTTCCTGGCAAGTTAGAATATCAATAATATTGATGGGATATCTATCTGTGAGGTTTGTAGACTGTTGATTTCTAGAAAATTGAAGAACATATATTTATTTTGATTTATTAAAAGGTTATTAAGTTACATTATAATTTATACACATTCTTCTCTCAAGAACATTGATTTGTGACGTGGCATTAATCATTTAGTTTTCCCCATTAACAAATATTCACGAAAACAGAACTGCGGGTTAACAAATTGAGAGAAAATGCGTCGTAACTGTGAACCTTATAACATATATAAACTATAACATATACTGATTTTGCTTAAGAATTATTGTCTACAGGATATCAGCATAATAATAAAACAAGCTCAAACAGAAACCTCAATAGAAACCTCTACAGGATATCAGCATAATAATAAAACAAGCTCAAACAGAAACCTCAATAGAAACCTCTACATGATATCAGCATAATAATAAAACAAGCTCAAACAGAAACCTCAATAGAAACCTCTACAGGATATCAGCATAATAATAAAACAAGCTCAAACAGAAACCTCAAAAGAAACCTTTACAGGATATCAGCATAATAATAAAACGAGCTCAAACAGAAACCTCTAGAGGATATCAGCATAATAATAAAACAAGCTCAAATAGAAACCTCAATATTCTTTAACAGTTAAGATATCAAATCTATCAAAATCTGCATTGTAATGGTTGAAACTTTTACACAATACATTGTGTTAATTTATGTATTATAGTTCGCATTTCTCAATATTAAGTGGGTAATCTGGTGAGTTATTACAACTTACCAAAGAAGATCTCAGTATAGAAGCTGAAACTTTGCCCCCTTTTTTATTTAACAACCAGTCACAGTCCATTAAAGTTCTCACACCTCTAAAGTTCCTAAAGTTCTACTGAAATACATAATAAAAATCGTTTTCAACATTCTTAACTGAATTGAATACGAAGGTTGTAATCACTAGAGTAATTTTGACAAATACTAAATATAATTTGTGGGATATTTATGGTGTTGAATCATTTAGTTAAACAAATACAATACCTATGTACGATATATGATTGAAATGATAATCAGTCAGTAAACTGCATTGGTGTGGAACCTGCATAACATATTACGAAAAAAATTAAAAATTCTTTATTACGTTCTCATTTTCTTAAACGTATATTAACTATAAATAAACCTTGTGATTTGTCACTTATCGTAGCTTGAAGCTTCTCGAAATAATGAATTCACTACTATTTATCCCCCAATTAAGATAATTATTTTGTAACAAACTTTTAGTCGAGATGAAACTAAAGTATTAAATGCTGTGAACATTATGTTCATTCGATAAAATACTCTGTGACCTGTACACATCAGCTCATTTACTATGCACTAAATTTCTTAATTCTTTACAACCTGAATACATTTTTCACAATATATTTGTAACATTGTACTTGATCCTGTATAATTTCATTAATTGGCACACAGTATTCAATAATCTTACACTACAATGAAGTTTACGCACCCTTTACATTTTTTCCTGCGTAATGTTACACTTTTCTACTGCAGTTCATATAAATTTAGAATTTTTCACTTAATAGTATAATACCCTTACTCTCATTTTTTTATTATTAATAGTACTTTGCAACTCTGAACTGTTAAAATAAAAACGTTGTTAGAATATCATCAATTCGGATATTTAAATTTGAGTGTGACATTAAAATGTTGACAGTAAAACAAGTGATGAGAAAATGGAGTTCCATTGAAATCTCTTCCTAAAACATCTAGCCTTCCTTCCCTAAATATCTTTTTTTGGTAGATATTGTATTTCAGTTCTTGTGCAGGCCTTCTTCTGACAGGAAAATTGATTTGTAGCTTCAACACCGATAAGTGTACATGATAATACAAAAACAAAATATCTAATTGGTTTTATTAAGATTAAAATAATGAATTCGTGTGGCCTAAACCATAACTTCCTGTGAAAGACAACACGCCTATTCGTAAAGATTCAGTAAGTTTCACTAATTGAAATAAATATTTTGTGAAAACATTACTAATTGCATTTACAAGACAAAAACAAATTAACAAACGCGTTTGATTGACGAACGCTAAACTTTGCAAAAGCTACTGACTTCGTGTGAATAAATATGAAAATGTATATTATATATTTATGTTTGTACATATTTATATATATTTATGTTTGTACATATTTATGTATTTATGTTTGTACATATTTATATATTTATGTTTGTACATATTTCTATATATTTATGTTTGTACATATTTATGTATTTATGTTTGTACATATCTATATATATTTATGTTTGTACATATTTATATATTTTTATGTTTCTACATATTTATATATTTATGTTTGTACATATTTATATATATTTATGTTTGTACATATTTATATATATTTATGTGTGTACATATTTATATATTTATGTTTGTACATAATTATATATATTTATGTTTGTACATATTTATATATATTTATACATATTTATATATTTATGTTTTTTACATATTTATATATATTTATGTTTGTACATATTTATATATTTATGTTTGTACATATTTATATATATATTTATGTTTGTACATATTTATATCTTATATCCAAATTATCCTGTTCTCCGGTGGCTCAGCTGTAAGACTGAAGGCTTCTCGTACTAAATGGCTGGTTTCGATACCCGTGGTGGGCACAACACAGATATCTCATTGTAGCTTTTACTTAACAACAAATAAGTAATTATCCACTTTCGAATCACAGTTCAATCTACTGATTTCATAACACACCCTTTCGATTCGAGGAAATCACCAAGCACCCAAAAAGTAACAGCGAGTACTGGCTTTATTCCAGTAAATTCAACAGGAAGGCAAAACAAGGATGTTCCCCAAAAGAAGGAAGTTCCCCACCCATTTGACTGTATAAACCCAGTACCAGTCTTTGTCTCAATTATCTTCAGACAAGTTTCACACACTGCTAGCATATTGAATTTGAATAAGTAAGTGATTACTAGTTGTTGTTTTGTTTTTACTTGTTAAAGTTAATTTAAAGGAATTAAATAAAACATACTATTAAGTGGACTTAAATATTTGTAATGTAGACAGGTAAAAATAACAGGATATTTATTTTACATATATAAGGGAGCTTCAAAATAATGGCTGTAATAGTGTTCAGCTGTTATTTACTTAGGTCAAAAAGCAAAAAGAGTGTGTGGCCTCTTAACCTATTCTAGGGATACACTTCCAGCTATGAAGGACGCTGTAACTGTGAGGATCAGTTCCAATTTAAAGTACCATCACAGTCAGCGGATAATTTTGTTAACTAGTTGTCTTCTCTCTGGTCAGTATTTCTAAATTGGTAATATCTATGCCTAAACCTTGTGTGTTTGTGATCTAGCAGTTAGTTCAAGCATCGTATAAGGTGTCGTTTATGTTGAACATTTATAATACTGATTAAGAACTTATTAAATAAATGTGGATCAACTAGTCTCATTAGTTATATTTTTTGGGGGGATAGAATGAAATGCAGAGAATATATATATATATACAGAACAAATGTTTGATTAAATTTCAATAAACCCCTATAATGTTGTGAATGAATATAATAGTCTCCCAGGAGCCAGCGATAATTGTACGAGAATAGAAGGCTAAAATCCGCAGTTCGATTCCCTATGGTGGACAAAGTGAAGAAAGCCCATTAAGTAGCTTTGGCTAAAACAACGGCAACAGCAAATTGTAAAAAAAATGTTTTATTTCTCATAACTTCTTTACAAAAGACATTCTCTGAATGAATCTCTTCTGAAAAGTAATAAATTACAATTAATTAAACCAAATACTGATCCCCATACTTCAAATCAGGGAAATCTTTGATTGCTGTTTTGTTGTATCTTTTACATATAATCATACTGGCACGACAGCGGAAGTCACGTGACTCTGGGAACATGCGTGACTGAGTTTTTCGAATTATCGGGGAAGCTCGAGTTTGTTCGAGACGCCCTGTTTTTTAGTATATAAGCCTGGCAGAGAAATCCACCGGGAATAATAATAAAGTGTGTGTTTTATACTTGTAGAGTGCGAAGTTATCGAAATTGTGAATCACTGTGATTTATAGCGTGTATTATAAAAGTTATTAAGTTTAAAGTGACGAGAAACTTACTGACTGTGGAATTACTGTGTACTAAAAGTTTATATCGAGAAAGAATAAACTGGGTTAATCAAGAAAGGACTTGTATCGCTTAAGTTCCTCGGAAAGAATTTCTACCGGAAATTAATAAACAAGCAGATACGTAACAATACAGTGATTAGTAACAATTTATTCTATTTACTCATAGAAAAGAATCAAACATTTTCTTTGTTTACAGGTAAAAGACACAACAGTGTGACATCATGAAGTTGCAACATACACTCATTCTGATTGGTTGTCTTTTCTTAATGGGAGCAGTAACAGCAGACGCATATAAGCGTTGTCAGGCTGAGAACTGGAATGTAAGTTTTTATCTTTTTTTTTACATGAATGAAAACGCTATCTATCCTATCTTATTATATTCTATACGAACCAACTACATCTTAACATATATATCATTTCTCCGTAGAAACTACTATTAACCTATTCTGTGGATACAAACTACATCTTAACATAGTTACGCACTCCACACTCTCTATTACCCTTTCGATGTGACCCGCACAAACCACTTCTTCTGTTGAACAAATTATTTTAGTGCTGAGAGTTCGAAAAAAGTTTCTTATCAAAAGTATGTTGTAAACCTTCTAATTTTTAAGAAACTAATTTGATGTTTTATATTAGTTTTCGAAACGTGAACTTTGGTAAACACTAATATATTTCTGTTTTGCTTTCTCTTACCAGTGTTTGATTTACGGTTTTGGAAAATTTACTATACCATGTTGTGCTGGGTTGATTTGTCGTGCATACTATCCAGGTTCTACAAGTGGGAAATGCAGGAGGTTCTGGGGATAATCCCATCTGACAGTGATCCTGGTTCAACTTGAAGAAGTTACTGGTTTAATATCACTACAATAATCCATTATTATAATCCAGCTCTGTTTTGTGTTATTCTTCTGTTTTTCTATACTCTATAAATTAATATTCTACTTTAGATGGTAGTTTAAAAGTGAACACAGTTAAGATGTCATTAAACTTTAAAGAGGAAACTTGTAGCTTGTGCCAAGTATGTATAACCTTTAAAACATTAAATAGTTGTGTTTCTCTTACACAAGCAAATATATATGTGTGTGTTGGGGGGGGGGGGTTCTTTCAAGTCAATAGCAGATTATTAATATCTGTCCTTGTAAGTAAAATAAATGATAGTCATTGTAATCTTAATATACTTGTTTCACAACAAGATACCAGTCTAGTTAGCTTACATACTTCTAATGTGACTTTTTTGAGAAATTAGCAGCGTTTATTATCATTCCGCTGTTAAAACGTATCATGAACCACAATAGTGGTTCATTATTAAAGTGATCGATCAAGTTTAGACGAAACACTCTAATAGAACGCTTGGCGAAAACCAGCTTAGAAGCAAAATCTTTCCTAAGTCAACATTCAAAATCTTCCTTTACATATTATGGCCATTTAAAAGGTTCAGAAAAGTAAACTATCAGATAACTTAAAACGAATCTAAATTCCAAAAACTGCTTGGTATATTGTACCCAAACCTTTTCTAAAATACAAAATAAGGCATTTCGAATGTTGTAGAAGTATTGAAAACTTGATTTGTTTGTTATATATTTTAAATCAGCCAAAAAGCATTATAATTCTAGTGTAAACGACGTTATCATTATCCCTTGAAGTTAGCTTTCTTACAAGTACTTGGTGTTCATTTAAACGTACAAGGTGAAACAGGATTTACCAGCCAATAATAGATTAACATTAGTTTATTGTAATATCTAGATACGCAATGCTTTGTAAACTATACAATCGGTGTCTTTAGATTACCAACCCATTTATTGTGTAAGAATTAAATGAGTAAAAAATCAATACACCTAATTTTAAATTTTATTACTCACATTCGTAGAATATTTACTTTAAAAGACACGAAGGTTTAGCTAAAGCGGCGTTTTAGATGTATATGCTTTATTTGAAAAGACTGCCTTTCTACTGGTAAAATTTCATACGAGCTTAGAGGGGGTTGTGTCTTAGTCTAGGCACATATTTACTTATTGTTTTGCATTATATATACACATAAAATTGTTTAATTCATGCATGGATATAAAAAGTAAACAAATTGAAATATAAAAATTTAAAAAAGGTAATAGGGATTGGAGATTATAGCTATAAAAAGTAAAGAAACAATGGGTTAAATAACAAATCTCTATTGTTACGTATTACAATTTCCAATAGTCTGAACTTGAGTTAATTGATAATTTAAATTTAGTAGTTAAACTGTACTTTGGATTTAATAATTAAATAAATGCCGATATATAGCCAGTTTATTATATTTGCCAACAATATTGATACACACTTTTCTTTTTTACCACAAATACGTTTTAATATACACACAACAGTACAATTTACAATAACAATTATTACAAATAATGATTTATAAACAAAAGTTTCACAAATTTACAAACAATATAAAGTCTTCTTTCTAGTCTGGAACTTCCTTGATTTCTTATCGAGGGTTCACGATGAGCGAGTTGATTACGAGTTGATATAGGAACAATTCACTAAGTAGCGAGCTAGCTAGCCCTATAATCTTCATTGTTCACACACCGATTACAGGTCGCGTTTCACCGATGACGTCAGGTAATGTTTTCGTAAAAGTACTAACGTCCAATGTGAATCCACTAAAGTTGAATGATTTGTAATGTTCAAAATTTATAAAAGCTCCTGGTAAATATATCTGAAGTTCCCGATTAATACACATTAATCACAGTTATAGCTTACTAAGTTCTTTTAGCACGCTAAAAATAGCAAACCGACAATAGATACTCTCTTTTTCGGAGCGGCGCGTTGGTTATATCTATAGCGTGTGGAGGTGTTCTAGAAATTTCAGTTTTAGGTAACAATACTGAGCTACATTTAAGCGTTTACGTATATACATATATTGTTGGAGAATCTTCTACAACTTTGGAGAATAGGCGGAAGTTTCGCAATACATATTTAACACTATAAGCCATGTATGTTTCTAAATATAAATTTAATCCAAAAAAACGTTGATATTAAAATAAATATATAATAACAAATTCGTTACAGTATAAAGTTGCAAATCCTTATATTAGCTAGTGTGTAAATCTATGATAAGTAATGGAACAAGTAAATTTACTGCTAATAGAAATCCCTATGAAGTTGAAATCATTTTCTAATAGATGGTAACAATCATAAATAATATTCCACATTAAACTGGTACACAATTAAAAACATTTTATTCAGGCAATTAATGGCCTTCAAAAATTTGACGACTCTACATGTTTCGACGTTACAACAAGGATGACCATGACAGTGCAACTAAGTATCTAAAAAAAATTTCTACAAAAAGTAAAAAAAAACATATCACAGGTTCAAACAACACTGCCTTGTAGTCATACATCTTTTGTTTTCTCTTTCTTAAACTTGTGGTTCTAATTTTAATGCCTGCAAATTATTTATAAAAACTTTATCTTGGTTTATGGGTTTTAAAACTTTAGGATAATCCACTTCAAACCTAGAATCACCCTGTTAACATTTCTTTGAACAAATTCCAACACAAAACCAGCACAGAAAAGCTTATACAACAACAACTTTAACTGATATTTAATGTTTCTATGTTATGTATGTGATCTACAATTATATTTGCCTTATCATGATTTAACACACATTGCCTTGAAGATTAAAAGCTTTGCAATTACTATACCCAGATATTTTTCCTCGTCAACTTGATCTAAAGTTAGTTCATCTAGTTAGGTTTATTTATGGTAAAACTATTAATGGTCTATGCTGCCATTCCTGTTTTTGAGCTTCCAAGGTAACCGAATAGTAGCACCTATCGCCAACTCTTGGGCTACTCTTTAACTAATGAAAATGATTACTACATTATTACACACAGATGATGGGGCATATATGATAGGAGTTGGGCTTCGATTCAGCGAACTATGTAGATTGCGAGTTGAGTACCCTAACCACCAAATCATCTCACGCTGTTCCTTCTAAGGGCTACAAGAATAAATATGTTGATAGTCAATGTGCATAACCTTACTGTTGGATACACAAGACTATTCAGTTTTATTTAAGATGGTGTTTCAGCGAACGAAAAATATGGTAATCTGGTATTGCCATATTTTGAGATTATGGTGGGTATGGGAGAACTTACCAGCCCAATTTTATAATCTTATGTTGCACTAAACGTACCACATGTGGACGTGTATTGTCGTGGAGAAGAAGACCACCTTTGCGATTGACGAGTGAAGAGCGTTTCTGATAAAGGGCTTAATTTAAACGTTCCAGTTGCTGACTATAGATCTTTGCATTGATAGTTCGCTGTGGATTGAGGGTGTTCCAAATGAATTATTCCATTGATGTCCCACCAAACGCAAAGCATCACTTTCTGCGGATGGAATCCAAGTTTTGGGGTCAGAAATGGTTTTTGTTTAGGACTGAGCCATTGTTTTTTGGCGTTTAATATTCACATGGAGAATCCATTTTTCATCACCAGTGACAATTCTGTCCAAAAATGATTCACACGCCAGAAGAGACGAAGCAACATTCAAACACCTTCTTTAAGGAGTTTTCACATATTCCTTAGATTTTTACGTATTTTTTCATGAGATACATGCAATTTCAGGGCCATTTCACGAGTGTGTTGCCTTGGGTTAGACTTAACAAGTGTCTTCAGAGCATCAATATAAATTCCAACATGTCAGCCCCTGCCATCACAGTTTTTAAGGCTAACGTCACCTGAACAAAATTTGCTGAACCATCGTTAACACTTACGAACATTCAAAACATTTCCATAAACTTCTTTGATATCCTTTGTGGCTTCAGAGGCATTGTTTCCCTTCTTGTATTCAAACAGCATTACCTGCCGAATCTGTGTCTCGTCGTGTGCCATCACTATAAGGGATTATAGTATACTAAACTTTACACATTATATAGGCTACATTAACCTGACGTTTAGGCGGTTCATGTAACTATTATACATGATGTACTTTTTTGGGGATGGTTAATGAAAGTGTACCAAAACTCGACATTAATTTCTTTACGACCTAATGCATATTCTTACTTAATTTCACTCACATGTCCTTAGAACTATGATTTGGATTAACAGTTTCGAGAATATATCAAAGCACCAATTTAAATCTAAATGTCATAAATCAGTGCACAAGAAACTAAAACCTATATTCAAAGCCAGAAATTGTTTTTGCGAGTCTTTTTCCAACATTAAAAGTCGGGACCACAAATTGGAAATGAAGTATTAGTAAACGTTAATTGATACTTATTGCACAGATACAGGATGATAATAAGTAATTCACGTCATTGCCGAATTTAAAGAAAAATATTAATTTTAACTATGCAATAAAAAATTAAATCATGCTTTCTACTATGAATGTAAATTAAACTGAGTATCAAATCCCTATATACCTACAATTTGTTTCTGCCGATAACAGATACATTGATGCCTCCAAATTCGGTTTACAAGCATTTCTTCCACTGTCCCATCAATCAGCACCCTGACAGGCGTACCTTGCCTGTCATCTGATCATCAGATACTAGACTGGTTCTCACTGCTGCACAACTGCACCCAGTGTCTCCAAATACCTTCACTTTTTGGCCCGCGACATAGCCTTCATCTACTTACATTTTGTGATTTGTTGGTTCCTCTCAATGTTTGTCACATGCTCCAATCATTACTGGCACTTTTGACCCCTTTGCTAATTTGAGCTGGCCATCAATCATGCACTGTTTAATCACAGTAATAGCATTTTCTTCTTGTGGTGCATCTGATGAATTATCTTTATTCTATTTCTGTCAGCATCCATGGTGACAGTCACTATTTTCTTGTTTCTTCCCAGCCCCAACTTTGTGGGTTGCTCCAGCTGCTTTATGTTGAGATTTCTGCTGCTGCTTGTTGATTACAGACTTGCACTCACTCAAAATGTTTCCAATTTTATAACAATCATAGAATCTCTTCTCCTATTTGTTTGTTAATTTCCTGTCCAGGTGGAATCCTGTTTCTAGACAGCCATCCCTGGTTTCAATTTTAACAGGTTATTCTTGTACGTGCCAGTTATACTTCCTCCATAGGCTTCTATATACTATTCTGCCAGCTTGATCATCTCTTTCACATCTTTTGGTGCTCTCTTCTTTAGGAACA